CTATCTTGTCTTCGGTCTTCTTCATCTGTTTCCTCAGATTCTTTGGTCTCGGTAGGACTCTCTCGTCCAAATAAGTATTTCTTCAATGAGCCTTCCGGTTCGTCATCAAAGTTGAGCAGGCTGTAAATTGACTTCTATATCCCCATTTTCGAATTATTGCAGTGAGATAGAGAGAGTCTTTTATGCACTCCACATCCCAGAGATGGGGAGGGCGTGGCTAAGTACTGCATATGAGAAAGGCATATAATGCAATTTTATCTCTATTTTTGGTGTCATCCTGTCTTTTGCTGGATAAAGACATCATTACTATTGTCCCAAAACAGCAAGATCTTACTGAAAGCGCGGACGCCGCCACCTTCAAGTAAAGTGCGCAGCCACGCCCTCCCCACCCCCGGGATATGGACCATAATTCCAGAGCATTATATTCGGAAATTTTTTCTTCGAGTAAGGAAAATTATGTCTCAGTACTAATTGTAAGCAACGATTACTTCACAGCATACAAAGAGCTCACTACAGGGAAGGGTCTGAGGGAATATTGGCCTGAATGAGCTATGAGTTCCGTCACCACTGTGAGGGAACCTTCTAGATCTCCACATTTAGAAGGAGGCAGTACCACCACCCGACACAAACGGTACTGTGACCGTACTCACTTTGGGGAAAAAGTGGAAATTTTGGCTCGTTATTCACTTTTCTGCATTATTCACCATTTACTGCTCCGCTTTTCGAGATTCGCGGCATCTGGTCAGGAGACCGTCTAGAGCCCATGCCAAGGTGCTCGCGCAAACACACCTCAAGTCATCATACTGGGTGGAAACTCGTCCCCAAGGGTAGCTTGACCCAGTGAACACCCATACCATATTTATATGGGAGAAACTCAAGGTCGGCATATGGGGTTTACGTTACAGCGCAGCCCTCTGCTCTCTGCTGTGCATACTGAAACAGTATAACGTCTAGCGAGCTGAGCAGGACGAAACGAGCGTGGGGAGACTCTAAGTAATCAAGGGAGTAATGAAGAAGGACATCCGGCTTCGTACCCACCTCTTCAACACTGCAGTCCTTAAGATGCGCGAATGAAACGTGTGTTCTGCACAAGCAGGATGAGCACACTGTCAGCGCTATAGTGCGCTATAAAGAGGACAATGACCTGGGTTTCCTCACTAAACGCAAGTGCATGCGGGAATCCGGAGTTCGAGGTTTGTCAGGGGTTGAAGATCAGGCAAGCTGCAGTATTTGTCAAAGAATCGAAGAGCAGGTGGAATAGACAGGTCATGTGAGCGATCAATGACTAGCTTTCAATATGGAGCAAAAAGAGGAGAGAGCGCTGACGATGGTCAGACGTCTTCACCGAAGCTACAAGAAAAGTGAAAAGTTTTGTCATCCTTGAGGTGATCCACTGGTTTACTTTGGCTTGAGACAGGAATGTACAGTCTTGTTCAATGGAAGCTGGGACACGTCGGAAGCGCTGTTACGCGCATCGCAACCCATTTTCCACCAACTATGGAACTGACAGGCGACCAATCGGTGGAAAACTTACTGGCGCGGCGCCTAACCAAGCCCCTGAAACACCCTAACGTCCGCAGCGAATAAGACTGTAGACGTGAATGACTCGCACTAGAGGAAGTCGGATCAACGGGACGACGTGTAGGTTCAAGACTGGTAAACAAGCGAAAGTAGCTATGAGAGCAATAATTCTGAAAACCTACTTTTCTACAGGCTCCTCCGGTCCCTCCTCATTCGCCACACGGGAGTACTCGGGCTCACCAGTC